CCATCTTGTAGAAGGCAAGATAAAATGCTGACAGGATGGCTGACCATTAAATTTGGGAAAGGATATCTTACTCAAGTAGTCTTAACAATGAGCACTCTACCACATTTAATTTTCCTAGTATGATGTAATTACTACAATTCTAATATATTTATAAAACATTAAACTATTGTTAGATTTCATATTTGTTTTTAATTATGCTAAAGATTAAGACTTCTGGTTTCTGGAAATTGGAAGTCAAACTTCAGCGATACTCTGCTGAGAATAAAAGGTTTGTAAGAAGATCTAAGTATAGGCAAGTCATGATTCAGAAAACTGGTATTTTTGAGACATTTCTAGGCCAAGATTTTAAATTTGCTCCAAGATGGTGGTAAAGGAAGTAGTGGTCTGATAACACTTAAGACACAATATGCATAAAATTATATTGACATAATGTCAGTTGGAAACTTATTATCCTTTAAAAGAGACAAATCTGATTTTCTTACAGTCTTTACTTGTTTTACAGTATTTTATTAAATAATTTGGTAATATAAAAACATTTTTAGAGAAGTTTTTAAGAAGTCTTGCGATGACCCTTTATGTAGAGCAAAAAAGTCCTTTATTCCTTAGTTCTCTTGCCTCCTGTCACAATGACATTATCAGGGTAATCTCTCTTTTAAAATTTTATATAAAATATAAAATCTCTGCCTAATTATTTATTTTTTTCCTTTTTGTTTATTATCTTGTCCTTACCTTTAAAAATGTCCTGCAATCTAGGTACATCTACATGTAAAAAGTCTGTTGCTCCATTAAATATGTAAACTAAGTCTTCACTTCTCTTTCTTCTATAATGCTTATCAAGTATGAAGAAAAAACTATTTCACACATGACACTATTACATTTTCTTGAATTTCTCCTTTTAAGAGACATTAAAGTGAGTATTATATAGAAATAGAAATGATTAGCTAGAACTTTATATTACTTATACTTACAAACTAATTAATTTCATTAATTGAACTTGCCTAATACATAGTGAAAACCTAGAAAAGTTTATATTCTTGCATACGCTTTACCTAAGACAGATAATACTAGCATACTGAATATATCATTTGCTAACTATATACTGCTCTGGTTCCTAATAAAAACAAACAGGCTGGCATTTTCTCAAATAATCCTAGTAACAGTTATAAAAGTATTTTTATAGAAAAATTAGCTTTTGTAGAAAACGCTCTAAGTGTGAATGTACTTTATTAAAGTAAAGCAAAGAGGTCATGTATTTGAATTCAAAGAAATGGATGTGTAAGCTGAGGCTTTTATAAACTATCTCAGTTTAGGGAATGAGTTTATGTACTGCATAGCCAATATGTGAACTGAAGGCCAAGAAGAGCATATTGTTGTCATATTAGGAGCTTTGAGAAATTTATAGGGAAACCTCAGGAGCTTACTAAGAAAAAGGAAGACTCAGTTAAGCATAATTTGTTTGGGTCTGTTTTCCAGATCAGTGTGAATTACTATCACGGATGAAGGGCTAGAGCAATCCTAGAAGGCAGAACTGGAATCAAATGATTGGTTTAACTTAGTAAGAACAAGAGTAACAACAACATCAAAAGCAAGAGAAGAAACAACAATTTGAGAAAACTCGGAAACCTGAGTTGCCATACATTTCGTGGATAATAAATTCACTTAAAAGAAACAAAGAAACCTGCCCAGTACAGCCTCTCCTTCACTCACTGGTACAGTGAAACAGGTCTGTTCTCTTGCGGCATCTCGAAGCAACAAAAATTCAATGTAAAACAATGAAAGTTGTCCCTATAACTGATGCTTACTACAGTCATGCTTATTATAAAAGAAAATTTTAAATCAAATGTTTTTAATATATCCTATAGTATGTATTTGCTTATAATGGAATTAGAATAGAATGCATATAATACTTTAATAACTAAACTTAGTAAAAAAATGAGATTAAAAATGAATGCCTTAGCTCAGAACAGCTTAAGTGCTTCAAAAATGTGGGAAGGGATAACATCCTCATTAAGTAAAACCAGTCAGGTGAGTTGATAAATAATTAATAACTGATCAACAACTCAGAACAAAGCTTCAGAAATGGTTTGATGAGGCAGGTACGGCTGACAAGACTTACTCTGAAGCTGAGGCTGCTGGAAGGAAAGGGGCTGTCCGAACACAAATGGGCTGTGGACTAGGGAAGAGGGAGGTTTTGCGGCTTGATCAAAGATGGAAGGAGCTGGGAGATTGGGCCGTGACTGAATGGAATTCAATATGGCACTCAGTTGGTCACCTGCAGTGGGCAAAACAGTCAAAACTACAACTTGTTATTAATTAACACCCAAAATGGCAAAGTAAATGGTGCTTTACAACATTCAGATAAAGTCAAACACTAAGTAAAACAATGCCAATTCAGAACTGTGTGGAAGTCGGTGATTGTCATCCTCAAGTCAGGGACCAAATGTTGTATGTTGTTTTAATAATGAAAGCACCCCAACAAATTTTATATAACAGCCCATCTATAAAAACAAATCCATTTATATTTAACATTTAGCAGCAGCCTGAGAGAATACAGAGTCTATGAAGAACCTATAAAGTTGACTAGATATCACACAAGTATAAATGAAGATTTAAGTAAATGACACCTTCTATGCAGTGCCTGACTGGTACGGCTGTCTCGTATGCAGTACACTTCATGCAGAAAATACACAAATAATATGATAGTTTTTTTTAAATGCAGGACTGAAGGGAGGCAAAGTATATGTTATTAACTTAGTAATACATTTATATTATAGTTATAAATGAGCATTTTATTTTTAAGTTGCTATTGCCAAAGATACTATGTATTTTTAAAAGCATGAACTCTTTTGCTTGGATAGACAATATATACATATATAATACATATATATATATAAGACCTATAAGATAAAAAGGAATATGAGCTACCTTACTTGAATAGTATCTCAAACATGAACTCTGACTTTTTCCTTAAAATTAAATACAGAGGCCATTAACAGAAAAATACGTTTTAAAATATGAAATGATATAATTGTATGGATGATAGCTCCTAATTTAGAGAATATATATTAAATAGTTTAAATGATGCTGAAGAAGAGGGGGAAAAAAAAACACATGCAGACTAGTTGATGCAGAAACTGGAAAACAGTACTTTTCCAGCCATATTCCCTAAATATAATAAAGTTTCATAAATAAAATGTTAAATGAAGAACAACAAAAAATAGATTACTATGGAAAGAACTGTATACATAAGTAACACATCTTTACTTTAAAAAAAATTAACACTCTAGATTATTGGAAGGGCTTTAGAGATAATGAAGAACTTTACAAAATTGTTTTAAAGAAAAAGAACTTTTAGAAAAAACAATAGCTTGATCTTGATAGTATAAAGAGTTAAAGAAAATGAGAACTACTATTAAAGGTAAGATAATAAATAAAGGTTATATTTAATCAGATTAAAGTGTCTTAATATTTCTTTGCTCCTTTGCTCCATCTAAATATTTTAAAAGCTTATTAACAAGTACATGCTATTTTTGAATAATATTAGCAAAATTACACTTTTAAAAAGTATTAAGTTTTAATTTCTATTTAATAACAACTGTTCTCAGCAATGTTTGTGTCTCTTAAAAGTTGACTTTTTTATACTTATGATGTTTTAATAAATCATATTTTAAAGACTGATTTATGATGATGGCCACCAATACAATTTAGACATTTTAGAGACTGAAAGCATACAATTTGAGCTAAACATGGCTTTAAAACAGATTATTGTACAAGAATAGTAGTGGTAAAGTAAACACTGAGATTTTAATTTAAGGACTAGCAGTGGTAGAGAGAAAGGGACTGAAGAAAACATTACAAAGCATTTACCCTACTTACGTATGAAGATCTAGCTTAAGTTAGTTGAAATCTGAGCTACCTGAAATGAGCGAACAGACAGTAGCCAAGCCTGCAGGATAGACCGACCCAATACAGGAGGAAAAGCCAAAAACAAATCCCACAGTTAGGCGTCCTTTGTAAAAATACGTTGTGGAAAGTAATGAAGATATCAAACAGAAAGTGGTTTTATTTTAAAGTGAGTATTTCATCTACACGGATGTAATTATGTATTTTGCTGACTATTTCATTATTTCACTAGTTCTGCAAGTCAGGTATTGTCACAGTGTATTTGTTTCTTGAAATTGAATCCTATGAATTAGTTTAAATAACATTTTAAAGTAAAATTATTTCCACATAGGCTATCTTCTCCTTCCTACCCGCTGCCCAGCTGTGCACTACCTGCTGACAATATTGCTGATTTTCAGTCAGGATCAGGTTCATATGAAAGAATAGGAACATGTCCGAATTTATATACAAATGGAATTTTAAATGAAATTCAGGCACAAATTATTTCAAAATAATTACTGTTTGGACTGTCCTGATGCTGGTCTCTTCCACTAACGCAACCAAAGGCAGTTATATACATTTTATATCCATATGGCTTAGGGGTTATGTTTTCCTTTTCACAATTTTTTCGTTTCATTATACATACCAAATCCAAAGACATCATTTCATGTAATTCTAAATCAACTAAGATAACTTAATTAGACCTTCAAAACCACATATATTTAATAAAGCTGATATGCAATATTACTTAAAAGTATTACTTAAAGTATTTGATTTTAAACGGATCATTTTGGAAAGTTCTTTTGCTCATAAATCTTACTCTTACTAAGGGTGATAAAAAAGTTCTTTTTACTAGATACAGTGACACAAAATATTTATGATGTGAATTCAAAATGACTGTCTATAAAATAGAAACAAGTAAGCAAGAACTATAAACATAAGCTAAACCAGATAAAAACAATACTGTAAAAAGAACACCTTCATAAACATTTTGATTGTTAGTTTCCAGGAACAAACTTTAACACAGTTTTGGGGGGAACAGTAATACAAATGGATAGAAGAGGAGGTAATAAAAATATTACAGTTACGTAAGTAAAAGACTCACTGTAAACACCAACCTTTGTTATTTCCAAGTCCATAATCAAATCCTTGGGCACTGCAACTTGCCCCTTTATTAAAAGCTTGTACAGAGAAAGGGCTTGGAGGAGGAGTTTGAGAATTTTGATCCAGAAGAACTTGTTCTACAATAAAAGGAACAGCTATAAAATTAGTTTATGTGCTATTCTCAATTGATAGAATAGAGAAAATTATAAGAAAGATTTTTATAACGGTTAAATTTTAAAATAATCTCACATTTAGATTTGATAGTAAGTCCACCAATTAAGTCACTGACACTAACAAAATCTATGAGAAATCTTTGTTTTCATCTATCAAATCACAATGAAATTTAGAAATGGGATAAGCTTTTATGCAGCTAATTTACTTTTACTGTGGCATGATTTATCATTGAGTGTACACTAATATTTCTGGACTAGGAACTCATATTCAAAACAAACTTATACAAGGGCATTTTACAAAACAAAAATGGATACCCTATAAGTGAGAAATTTAAATATTTCCTGTACAAATGTCTAAGTATAAGGTACCAAAAGAAAAATGTCTAAGTATATGGTACCAAAAGAAATTTTCACTTGTAAAATATTTTTAGTTTTAAATGTGAAAATTATGAAAAATTTAACTTTTAACTTAGTTTTACTCATTCTATAAAGGGTATTTTCCCTAAATGAAAGGATGATAAACTTGGATATGTAATCACCACTATTAATACATCCTGAAGTCAATGAATGTATCAGAATTCTTATTTCAAGAAGGAAAGGAAAAAAAAAGGAAATGGCAATTATTTTTTCCAGTTTATAAAGGGCAAGAACACAACATATAAATTGGTAAACTAAGTTAATCCCCTATTAGCAATCAAGTGGCTATTAGATTCTGTCTGATATAATATTAAAAACACTAATACCATAATTAAATAGTCATATTAATGCCAACTAACAAAAGGCAAAATAAAATCTGTCAAATGAAAGGCAAAAAGGAGAAAACAGTATATATGCCATTCAAATAACATTATGAACAGTTAAAAGTTTTAAATATATTTTAAAAGTCATATCCCTTTAAACTGAAAAGGGACCTAGAAGAATGTGGTGGAGTGCTTTCTTCCTACCTATTGGTCAGAATTCTGGTACTGTAAGGTCTACACCTTTATCAGCCTTTCTAGACATTTTTCAAGAAACCAATCCCAGCACTTCCCTTAGGCAATACTTCTCAGTCTGAGGTATTTCAGCAGTGGAGTATTTCTTCTGAAAACACCCATGAACAGTAATCTGAATGGAAAAGCCAGCACTGCTGTCACCCCCTAGACTCAGAGCCATCTAGGACCAAGTGTCTCTGTTTTGACCATAACAGTAACTCTGTCTACTAGTTTTATCTACAGACATCAAAGATCTATAAAGAATTTTTACAAAGAGGAAAGCTTTGTTTTACTTTCACTGTTTTATATGAATAAATTACTGTGGTGCCAAATCTTATTTTCATATTAAATACAGTTACATACTAATACCAATGAGCAGACGATCTGGATAACACATCAAACTAATCTTAGTGATCTTCTTATGACCTCAGGTTTCATGTTAAAATATTAAGACTCACATTATGACTCTGTGTGTGTGTGTGTGTGTGTGTATCACATATATACAATGTATATATAATATATAACATAGATAATGTGAATATATAATGTGTATATATATATATATAGTAAAGAGAGAGAGAAGGGGGGGCAGAGACAGCATGCACGAACAGGCACATAGGATCATGATGTAATTACAGAGAGAAATTCAAACTTCTCTTACACCTCTTTTAGGGTTGAGTATATATCTTAGCAGAAATAATATCCTAATTTAAGAAGCATTTTATCTAAAAAGAACCTTCCACCTTCTAAGTATATGGGAATACAATTTCCCATGTTAAAACTCACTCCTTATTATGGAAAGCACTTTACTTTTTAACAATAATAGCTAAATTTACCATCTGATAACTGTGTTATCTGTTCCTTTAGCTTCATATAGAACTTATAAAGTATCCTCATTTTGTAAAGGAGGAAACTGAGGCACAGAGATATTAGGTAATTTGGCCAAGATCATCCAACTGAAAAGTTACAGAGTTGGCACCTGTACCCTGGCAGACCAGCTCAAGTCCACTCTTACACATTATGCTTATTGCCAGTTAAAATGATTACTAAGCTAGAAAGACCCTCTGATAGTCACTTAAACTTTTCTTAGATGATTTAATTATGTCTTATATAAAGCTGATCTCATTTTAGGTATTATCATTTATATCTGAATATCCCTATATAATGAAAATGTTTCAGAATTTATGACTATGTCATAAATATATCGTATATGTAGTAAGTATATTGCAAATGAGGTTATTTTGCAAAATGATTTACATTAAATGAAGCCTTTAGAATAGTTCTATCATCTCAGAACATTATTTCATGACCACATTATTTCTGATTAAGTTTGTAAGGACAAGGGAGGAAGTAGTTCTCAAATTGTATTCAATGGATTACTGATGCAGTGTGGTTCGGTGTAATGTGCACAGCATTTGAAATGTGAAGATTCTAGCTCAAGCCTTTCATCTGCCCTGTGTAACGATACAGATGCATAACAAAACAAGTGGTGTAACAATAGGGAAGTCATTTTAAAGATAATTAAAATGAGCTTTAGTTTCCTTACTTGTAAAATGAAGATTATATAAACTATCTCAAAACCTTGTTGCGAGGAAAAAAGGGAGAATGTTTAATGTATCATGTTAATATATCAAAATGTACTCTGTCATTCATATAAGTTTCAAATCTTTCTTGAATCTATTTGTACTTATGGCCATACTACCTCTTAGATAATGAGTATTATAACTTTATTCTCTTTTGTATAAAGAAGCATGTTCTTTTAATTATTTGACCTTATCCTATAAATTTGGGGATTCAGTAGAAAAGTCTGTTTGGCTCATCCATTTATTTTGATGTCCTAACTAATATTTTTTGATTCAATCTGTATTTACAAAACTTAGTGACCAACTAGTATGTGCCAAAACTGTTTTAGAACTAGGATTACAAAGATTAAAAAGCCTGACCCTATCCACCAGGGGCTCATAATCTAGGTATGAAGAAATAAAAATTAACTTTAATATCAGTTTTGTTCTAGTGGTGAATATAGTTCTTTTGGAATGGCGGTAATGTGTGACTCTGTCAGGATCAGTTAAAGCTTCACCCAAGTGATGACATGATCTGAACAAGATTTTGCCACCAGGAGAATGAAGAGAGGAAGACAAAAAGGAAAATATTTGACTAAAGGAGATCACTGTTGAAAAAAGGTAAAATAAAGTTTAAAGCTGAAACTCTAACAACAAAATAGAAACTCCCAAAAGAAGTTATGTATATACTCAATGTTCCTTTCCTGAGAGAGAATTCAATCCAATGCAATTGCCTGGGAGAAGTACTATGATCAGCTTGAAAACTGAACTTCCATTTAGTGGTAGAAAGAGTAAAACGTTCAGTCCTGACCTGGCACAGAAGAATTACCATTCACATTCATATTAGCATGTTTTTACAGAGGTCAATTCATATGTTTCACATTTCCTTTTAATTCTCTTCTTCTATGTGCATTTATTCAGTACCCATGTATTTTCCAAAGGGATTTTAACAACTGCAAGATTTTAAACCTTTAGTTTTCTCAAAATAACAACCACACAAAAAAGCTCTTTACAACAAAGGAAATACAACACGCTTTAAACTTCTGCATTGCAAAGGTAAATCAGAATAAAGCACAAATTTAAGCCAACTTGCCATCTTCATGTCGGAGGTACTGGTTTCCGCCTCTGTCTCTAGCTAAGGACCATGCCTCTCCTTCATCACTCTCACAGAACTCTACCATGCTGTTCTTATCCAGCTGCACCCACGTACCTTCAGAATTGGTTACCTAGTACATAACAAAAAGCATGATTGATTGGCTTTGATTCTTTCAGGGCACTCAGGCTGAAAACCAGCAAAAAGTTTAAGTTTAAATTATTCCAATAAATCTCTATCATCGAATTAAGTTTCTGAAATTAAGACCACAGCCTGAGGTAAGACAGAAATCAATAAATAGTCTTGCAAAATACTGCTCACTGTTCAGTTAAAACAATATTTTTTAAGGCACAGAATAATCCGTGAATAATTTTAACCACTACCCCAAAACATGCGGCTCTTTTTTTGGCACCTAAAATGTCTTAACACAGTATATTGTCTATTATTTAGGTTGGTAGTTTCTATAATGCAAGTTGAAAATGACCCTGACATTGAGAAATAGCATGACACACTACATCTTCAAGCTCATTAGCTGAGGCAAATGCCACAGTTGACTAAAGAGTAATGTTATTTGCTCAGGACTTCAGCAAGACACATGAATGGGAACAAAGAAATGAAACCTTTTGAACATATCGCATCATCCATAGCAAATATTTTAAAGAGCTGTTAATCCACGACGGTATAGTACACTTTTGTAATAATGAAAAGATATATGAAAATACCAGACATTTATATATACAATACAAATCACTTCATGAATATAAATATTGTCTTCACAAGGATAAGTATGAGAATAAAATTATTAGAAAAGAAGCACAGAAAAATTGCGTTAATATTTTCAATACAAGTAAAGATAAAGAACATTAACATTAAAAACCTGGGATGGGAATGGTAACCTTTGGAAGAAAGAGATGCTTTGGTTGTATTATATTAAAAATGAGTATCTTAGAAGTCATGAAGCTACAAGAATCCATACCTCTCCCACTGCTTTGACTTTGTTTCCCAGAACTAACATTCCAATTGGGATACCTCTAAGGTTAGGGCAGCTTCTGATGTTGTGACCGGAAGGTCCCGTCTTCACTACCTTGTACATGCCCGGCCCTCCTCGCAAGAACGGCATGTCTTGTTCTTGCATCGTTGCTTCCTGTGGGCAGCAGGAGTTTATGTCTTTGAAAAAGTCATCAGTATTAGTTTTAGGTTCCTGAAAATTTGAATAGGAAAAAAGAGTAAACAAAATACCATCTATTATCACTTTCAACATCCTCTTCTTAATAACTTTTACACCAAGTGCATAATACATCAATTAAGGAAAAAAACACGTATGCAAAAATAACTGAAGTATTGGTTAATACCACTATTAAAGAATCTTTCAGTTATTCAGTTCTGAATAACATTTAAAACAGAGATGAAGACAAGAAAATATAGCAGGAGAGCAATTGAACCTTTAGCTTTTGTTCACCATGATTTGAGAAATACAATAATGCTTGATTTTACTTTTATCTTTTAGTAAAATATTTAACAGTAGGAGAAACAAAAATAATTTACTATGTGAACCACAACTGAATAATTCTGAATCATTATCACTGCACTGCTGTCTGTTGGTACTGGTTAAAAAGTCAATCTTCATTTCCTTCCACTTTTGTTTATAATAATTGTTAATATATAGAGAAAATAGATATGAAGACTCTGGAGACTATAAACAGGGGTAACAATGATGAAAAAGTGAGCATGAGATATAGCAACATCTTAATATTTACCAGGTATGAATAAAATAAGAATACCTGTAAGACTTTAACAACTCACACTTTCTTAACATAGCACAAATAGAAGTCTTGCTAGATTTGCTAGGCATTAACAGTGATATATTAATGCTATTAACAGAAAAAGAGGATTATACTTTTAGTAGAAAAGACAGATTAACATTAAAGATGTGGTTTTAGATACAAATAATGCACTTGGATGTAAAAGAGTCACTTCTAAAATGAAAGAAAAGACCATGCCTTAAAGTTTCTGTTCAATCTGAATGCTGTGATGAAATCACTTTCTTCGTGAATGCCTTAAAGAGAAATAACAACCTTCCCATATTTGCTTTTTTCTCAACTAAATGCAAATGAAAGTTCCACACTGGAAGTTCTTCCATTGTCATTATTATTCCTTTAAAACAGACTTAAATTGCACTTTTAAATACAGTATATAGACTACAAATTGCTCTCTTCAAGTACAGTAAAAGATAACCATAGTGGGATACTCATTCAAACATTAGGTTAAAATTAAATTAATATTTAGTAATGTTACAAAGAGAATAAAATTTAAAAAAAACACTAAAATATTATGCTAGATAAACTATTGCTGAATAGCTCTATCCCTATAAGTAGTCTCACTCTAAAAGATACATATACATGTCCATTATACAGTAGAAAATTAAAAATAAAATCTTAAGGTTAAAAAAGTGTAGATTCAAGAACTCTGTGCACCTGTGACTTTAATTCAGTATATGATTGGTCAGGAAAAATTTCAAATTCATTATTAA